CTCTCCTTTAGATGGAAAAAAAAAAAAAAAAAAAAATCTATGCGACTGTGATTCAAAGGGGAGAGAAGGGGGATTTTTGCACATGTTTAAAATAGGTTTAAATGTTCCTTCCTTTTTACTTTGAGTTTAGTTTATTTGGGTACTTTTAATATGTCAGTTTTAATCCAGGTATTTTTAAAATTTTTATTTTCGAGTCTATGTACTTTTAAAACGTTGTTTTAGTATTTATCTGAAAATTTTTAATACTTTGAAATTTCTTTAATATAAAATACACGAACCAAAATGGAAATTCTTTAATATATTATATAAGAACTAAAATGAATGTTTGAACGTGGATAAATTGATTAAAGCAGAACAAATATATTTATAGGTATATTTTGTAGTGATGGTCTATCTTGTGGGTCCCATGCATATATATGACTAGACAAGTGATATCTACTTAAGAAGGTGAATCTATTGAGACAAAAGCTTACAAAAGTCACTTATTTGTATTGTTTTTCAAATAATTATTGAGCCAAAGTAAACTTTAAGTTCATATAATCCGTGAAATTAATAAACTTAAATTAAACAAAAAATTCAACGACCAAAAATATTAAAGTTAAATAAGAAGTTTGATCTGTCTGTTTGATAATTATTTTATTTTTGATTTCTAAAAATATGTTTGTTTGATAATGAATTCAATTTTTTGTTTTTTAATTTTTGAAAACTTTTTGAAATTCTAAGTAAATTTTTAGAAAAGAAATTAAAATAGATTTTTGATTTTCAAAATCTTTTCTTTTTTAATCCCAACCTTTTTTTTAATGTGACATATTTCTGTCTGACAAATTTCTTTTTCCTTCTAAAAATTTTTCCGGACCTCAATTTTCTCTCTTTAAAAAATTTATATTTTCTCTTCGAATATTTACTATCATTTTTCACTTTTCTAAAATACCATTCTTATTTTTTCTCTCCCTCAAAATTTAATATTCTCCCACACTCTTTTGGTCTCAAATTTTACCTTTTATAACTTTTATTTCTATGGTAAATATATCTCCAACTTTTCTATCAAAATTTTTTATTTTTCAATTTTCTTTAACTATAATTTTAATTTTAATTAATTAATTTATTTTTCTTTAATAAATATATCTCTTTTTTTGGTTAAAATTTTTTTATCACTATAATTTTTCTTTATTTTTCTTCTTTCTCTGACATTTTTATTTCTCTCAATTTTATTATCTTTTTATTTTAATACAAACTTTACCCTCTTTCTCAAAAATTTTATTTCTGTCTTTTAACTTTTATGTCACTAAATTTTTTCTCAATATTTTTATTTCTCTCTAAATTTACTCTATTCCTCTTTTAAAACTTTATTTTTATCTCCCTACACTATTATTTTCATGTCTCTACATTGGGACGACACAAATTTCCGCAGTGTCTGCTCCAAGATCAGGGAATGCATTTCTCGCCATGCCCCGACCCCATTACCAATAAACTAACTATTTATACTAGTAAATAAGAATTTCTATATATTTATTACTCTTTTTTTAATTCTAAAAATAATCAAAATTAACTACTAAATCGGTAATTTTCCACGAAAATCTCCATCCTAAGTCAAAGATTCCTCGACCTGGATCTCAATTCTCAAAATCAGAAATGAGATGAAGACGGTGTTTATGCAAGGATATGCACAACAGTGTATATCGGATTGCAGCTCGAACTCGGCCTCCGGACCGATCTGAATACTTACCTGCACAAAAAGGTGAGCACTCCGACGATCAAGTCAGTATAGGTCGGATTCCCAGTTTAGTTCGAGGTCAGAAATCATCGTACCTGATCGTGGAGTGAAGTCCTCTACTTATGGGTGGTAGTCCCGCTAATCTCGCGACGGTTACACCCGGTAATTTCGGGACCGTCGGTTACACCCGGTAATCTCGGGACCAACGGTTATACCCGATAATCACGTCGCTGATAGTAGCTCACATCGGCCCCCACCGAGCTTCCCGGTAGGTCGGACCTCGGCCAGGTTCACCTCGGCCCTCATACTTAGCATCTGTCAACGCTAGTGGTGGTGATCTCGGCCGTCCGAGCTGGGCATGACTCATGAGTCATCTTGGAGCACCAATGGGGGTCCTCCACGTGTCCAGGGTATTCTCTTCCCCAAACAGACGGGGACAAAAAATTTCTACGAGGACGAGGATGGGAAGGCATACCTGACCCCCACCTCATCTTGTTGTCATCTTTACTTTACATAGATCTTTCTCTTTCTAGCATATCTATAGAACTATTACATTACTCAAAAATCATACCCAATTACCAAACAAATCCCTTATAACTACCAACATTTAATCGTAATATTTCAAAAAGCTCTCAATAAACTACATATAGATCTCCAAACTTTCTGGTATCCAATGGGTTTGTGCCCTCAGCTCTATAAGTTAATTAAAAAAAAGTACATTTGGAGGGTGTGTTTAATTCATACCAAAATAGACCTTTTTTTTATATAGGAAGGTTCAAACTTAGATCTTAGATGTCAACATCCAAATCTCTTATTACTACGTCAACATGGGAGGGTGCACAAAATAGACCAGTTAAACATAACCTCAAATGTTTAGAAAAAGTATGGAAAACTTGTTCAAATGAAATAGAGAGAGATGGGAAAAAGGAAGAATCTCAGAAACCGTGCAGTTTTGTCATACGTGTGTGAATAAATTTATAAGTTCGAAAAAATAAAAAAGAAATAATGACAATTCTTTTTTTTTTTTACAGACAAAAAAAGCTAAAAAGCTAATTTAAAAAAGAAAAAGTTTTTTTTTGTTGGTCTGTAATGTATAGACTTCTCACATGGGTGGGTCGGGCCCACCCACAAGCTGCCATTTTTCCCACTCCCCCCATGTGATCCAATGCCATTATGGGCCCATTTCTCTCTCTCATCATTCTACCAATAACTAGTGAAAAAAGTTTAGATCTTTTATCTCACCCATGTGATTGGGACGAGAGTATCTACTCCTTTGTTTACGCTATAGTTTTGTTTTTTAAATAATTCTATGGTATTGGTGGACTGTACATCATTTTTAATACGATGCTGATAACATGATGTATGAAAAAATAGAATAAGATATCATACTTCTCTGGTATTAGAAAATTTTCCCTCATCATACTCAAAAAAGAAAAAAAAAACTTGAATTACAATTTAGTTTCTAAACTTCTATAATTGTATCGTTCGATGGATTTGTTTAAGAAGAATTTGAACTTTCAATTTTGTGTTTAGCACGTATTTGAGTTTTGAAAATGCCTGATGGTTTGTCCTTTTTTAGTACAACCAGACAAGGATGGGAGACTAAACCTAAATGCCTTTATTTTCGTTGAATTATGCTTAGATTGGCGTGTCTGATGTATCATTGAACATACAAAGTCCGTGATTATTTAACAATTTTTTTTTTAATTTGTGAGTCTATTAGACACACAATTAAATGTCGAATATCCTACTTTTTCTTTTAGTACAACATGTCCAATATCCTACTTGACGCAAAATTGGAAGACTTTTAAATCTTACGACCTACTGTGCTCAAAATTTAAAGTTTAAGATCTCATTATAATTTTTTTCTTGAAGCTCAAAGATTTATTAGACACAACTTCATTCAAAAATTTAGTTAATGTAATTTGACCAAACAAAAAAAAAAATCTTATTTTCAAAAATTTTAATTTACTCCATTACATTTTAACAACTTTTGATTTATACCGTCATATTAGTAAATATTAAAATTTGTTGAATCGATCCGTTCAAATGACATGATATTTAACAAATTAGGTTGACAATAATTTGAAAGAGGAATTAGACTAGTTATGAGAAAAACCAAAATTCATACCAAACTTCTTAAAAATTTGAAATAAAAGTTAGATGTTTGCTTTTTTAACTAATTCATACTTGAAATTTCTATAAATTTTTAGAATATTGTGCTAGGTAAGTTTATCACTAATTAATTATAACATTTACCGTACTAAATTAAAATTTTCAAAAACTTAGAGGATAAAAAAAAATCAGAAGTATTATTTCAGATCTTATATTTTCAACTAGGATTCATTTTAGTCTTTTCAAAATTACTTCTATAATTCCAACTTTGAAAACATATCTTTAGATCTTTGAACTTTTAAAAAAAACATTTTAATCGACTTATTATATTTGTTATCTTTTTTAATCATAATTTTTACACGACACTATATTCAATATATTTCTTGAAACATAATCGTAATTTTATATTTTAAGATTTTATATATGAATGTAATTTGTGTTTAGGATCACTTTACTAAGAACAGAGATCCAAGAAAACATTTTAATTGTACAATTAGCCATTAGAAGTCCAGAGATCCAAATGAAAATTTAAAAGAGCAGAGAGACAAAAATTAAATCGAAATAAAAAACACACAATGCATAGAGAGAGAAAGAAAAAGCACTTTTTTTTTTTTCATTATAATCATTCCCCTCTTTCAGCCAACACTCATTAATTAAAGCCCTCACTACAAACTAGCCTTT